TCTGCTGCCCTGTGCCCAGGATACTGCATAGCCGCCTTTCCCACCCCACCCTCTGCTGCCCCTAGTGCCTATTGTACAGTATAGCTGCCCCTTCCGACCTCTCACAATCTGGGTCTTGGGGATCCCTGTCCTCTCCCAAGTCTCTGATTATAAATAGGACTGTCAAGCAATTAAAAAAATTAATTGTCATTAATCGTGCAATTAATCACGGTCTTAAACAATAATAGAATACCATTTATTTAAATATTTTATATGTTTTCTCCATATTCAAATATATTAATTTCAATTACAACACAGAATACAAACGTACAGTGCTCACTGTATATATATTTTGATTTCAAATATTTCTACTGTAAAAAACAAAAGAAATAGTATTTTTCAATTCACCTAATACAAGTACTGTAGTGCAATCTCTTTATCATGAAAGTTGAACTTAGAAATGTAGAATTATGTACAAAAAAACTGCACTCAAAACCAAAACAATGGAAAACGAGAGCCTAAAGTCCACTCAGTCCTTCTTGTTGTTCAGCCAATCGCTGAGACAAACAAGTTTGTTTACATATTCAGGAGATAATGCTGCCTGCTTCTTGTTTATAATGTCACCTGAAAGTGAGAACAGTCATTCACATGGCACTGTTGTAGCCGACGATGCAAAATATTTACATGCCAGATGTGCTAAAGATTCTTACGTCTCTTCATGCTTCAACCACCATTCCAGGGGACATGTGTCCATGCTGATAACATGTTATGCCTGATAACAATCCAAAGCAGGGCGGACCGACACATGTTCATTTTCATCAACTGAGTCAGACACCACCAGCAGAAAGTTGATTTTCTTTTTTGGTGGTTCGGGTTCTGTAGTTTCCGCATCAGAGTGTTGCTCTTTTAAAACTTCTGAAAGAATGTTCCACACCTCGTCCCTCTCAGATTTTGGAAGGCACTTCAGATTTTTAAACCTTGAATCTAGTGCTGTAGCTATCTTTAGAAACCTCACATTGATACCTTCTTTGTGTTTTGTCAAATCTGCAATGAAAGTGTTCTTAAAACGAACATGTCCAGCACCTCCGAGTCATCATCTGAGACTGCTGTAAGATGAAATATATGGCAGCATGCGAGTAAAACACAGAGCAGGAGACATACAATTCTTCCCTAAGGAGTTCAGTCACAAATTTAATTAATGCATTTTTTTAACGAGTGTCATCAGCATGGAAGCATGTCCTCTGGAATGGTGGTCAAAGCATGAAGGGGCATAAGAATGTTTAGCACATCTAGCACATAAATACCTTGTGATGCCAGCTACAACAGTCCCACATGAACACCTGTTCTCACTTGCAGGTGACATTGTAAATAAGAAGCAGGCAGCATTATCTCCCTCAAATGTAAATAAACTTGTTTGTCTTAGCGATTAGCTGAACAAGCAATAGGACTGAGTGGACTTACAGGCTCTAAAGTTGTACATTGTTTTGTTTTGGTGTGCAGTTATGGAACAAAAAACCCCTACATTTGTAAGTTGCATTTTCATGATAAAGAGATTGCACTACAGTACTTTTATGAGGTGAATTGGAAAATACTATTTCTTTTGTTTATCATTTTTACAGTGCAAATATTTGTAATAAATAATAATCTAAAGTGAGCTCTGTACACTTTGTATTCCGTGCTGTAATTGTAATCAATATATTTTAAAATGTAGAAGAACATCCAAAATATTTAATAAATTTCAGTTGGTATTCTATTGTGTAACAGTGCAATTAAAACTGATTAATCACGATTAAATTTTAAATCACATTTAATTTTTTTGAGTTAATCGCGTGAGTTAACTGCGAGTAATCGACAGCCCTAATTGTAAATGTTTTTATGTTCTATGAGACTCTCTGCCCAGGGTCCTCCCTGCTGTAGTTCGCCCGAGAAAGGGGAATGGAGGAGCTCTTGTTTGAGCATCTGCAATAGGTTTTACTGCTTCTATCCGTAAGCCTAGGATCTCACCTGCTGGGCTGTCTCTCTCCGCAGAGGATGTCACTCTGGACCCAGACACAGCTCACCCCAGTCTGACCCTTTCCAAGGACCGGAGAAGTGTGACAGCCACAAACACAAGGCTGGCTCTGGCCAATGACCTGGGGAGATTCAACGTTTACTCCTGCGTGCTGGGCTCTGCTGGCTACATATCAGGGACGCATTACTGGGACGTGGAGGTGGCCGGCACAGGGGGCTGGGCTCTGGGTGTCACCAGGGAGTCCGCCAGCAGGAAGGGATGGTTCAATTTCAGTCCCGAGCAAGGCACCTGGGCCATCCAGCTCTCCGTGGGCCAGTACCGGGAAGTCACCGCAGAATGGAGCCCGCTGGACCCGCCCCAGAGCCCCAGCAAGATCAGAGTGTATTTGGACTATGAAGAAGGGGTCGTGTGCTTCTATGATGCAGACACCATGGCCCCCATCCACGCCTTCAGCTCCTCTTTCAAGGGGAAGATCTACCCGTTCTTCTGGGTCTGGTCTGTAGGGACTTCCCTTAGACTCTGTCCCCCCGCAACTCTCCAATAACTGAGGGCACGGTCTCGAGGCTGCTGACTTTTCGATGGACATTGGATGGTGTTTTGTCTCAGCCAGAGATTGAAGTGTGAACACCGTAATGCGTCTGGATTTTAGCCTATGCAGGGCCGGCTCCAGGCACCAACCGACCAAGCATGTGCTTGGGGCGGCACCTTAGAAGGGGCAGCCAATGTTGGGGTGGCGGGGGGCACTCGCGGTGTTTTTGTTTTTTGTTCAGCAGGGCGGCGCTCGAGGGGTTTTTTTGTTTGTTTTGGCCGGGCAGCACGGGGAGTGTTTCGGCGGCGCGGCACTGGG